CTTCCAAGCCTTGTCACCGATCTATGGAACCTGAAGATGAAATTCTCGATCGCTTCTTGTAACTTTCGTGTGATGTAGCTTTTGATCTGCGAGACTGTGTAGAACGGGAACATGGCGAGGGAGAAGGCAAGGTAGGAGGCCCAGATGGGAAACGTGAAGAAGCTTACAGCGAGGTTGAGTTGAAAAGTTATCAGCTTTAGTGTCATCCTCACAAGAAAATCTGGGAGATTCGGCGTGATAATCTCTGAATTGGGTCTGTCTGTAATTGGGTTTTGGAATTCGGGTTCAACAATGGCCAGATTCGAAGTTCTTGTAGGAACCCTTTTCGTGAGATAACAGTTTTCTTCCTCTGTTCCACGAGCTCTTGACCCGAAACCTGCATTTCCCAGATTTTCCCGAGAAAGTGACGGAAAATCGTGCCTTCTCCTGCATTTCTTGGTCTTCATGGCTTTCTCAGCTCCATCTGCAACAAAACTCAGCAGAAAACACTTGACGGCATCTCCGAAAGCTCCCGACTTTGAATCTCCGAAATCAGGGGAAAACCCAGAAAATTCGCCAAACCCATTTGAGAAATCATCGATTTCACCCATATTTCTTCCACTCCCAGGGATCCGATTCGCCTATTGAACCCGCAATATTTGTGTATGTATATATCGAATCGGCGTGGCCGTCAAGAGAAATCCTTTGGCAGGTTTATCTGTCGTGGAGGGAAAAAAACGATAAACAATATTAATATTAATAGCCGTTAGTCGTCGGAGCTGCTGAAGAATCAACGGTCACGATTGTTTTGACGTCATATCCTACGGCTCGCATTGCATGATCAGGTTATCAACAAGACTTGTCTTCTTTTCTATGCAGATAACCAAATCACATACCACTAAGGATAAACCCGCACCTTGACACACGTCCCAACATTATTTTATTTTTATTTACTTTTATTAAAAAATCATAGCTCGAGGAGGCGTTTCGGGTTTTATATCAAAGAAAATTTGAAATTTGAAATTTGATATTTATACATATATCCGTATGTAAAAAAGTTTTAATTCGGCATTTATTGGATCAAGTTCGTTTCAATAACGATTTGTTCAATTATATCAAGTTATGCCAAATTTTCGAGTTCCATTTTCAAAATTAAATTCCCGAACGCCGATCCCCGAGAATAACACTAACGGGACTGACAATGATGATGTTGGATATCATTCGGCACACGAACCTAAGTCCACGTGCCATGCACGTGTCGTGCATGTTCTTCCTCTGCTGTAACGAAAGAGTGAGCAAAGTGTCCACTGAATTCTCCCCATATTTCTCGAGTAAATCGTCAACCATGTATAAGAATGAATCCTAATAAAATAAAACTATGTGAATGTTCATTCCACCATCCAATCCGACCCACTTATAAACCTAAATGATTTAATTTATTTGATTAATTTTTTAAAATACATTTTGACCCATTAAATCTATTATATACTTATTTAAAATTAAACTCATTTTATAATTAATTAAAATTATTATATTTAGATATATAAAAAATAGTATATATAGATATTTTTATATATACAAATATATATGTATATGAATTAAATCGAAATATTTGGTATCGTTTTCGAATCAAATCGTATCGAAAATCTGTGCTTTGAATCGAATCATACCGAAAAAATCGATGTCGTTTTCGCATCGAATCGTGCCCAAAAATTCGAATCGTATAAAAATCTAAATACCGTTCCGAATCGACTTGTGCCAAAAAATTTGGTGTGTTTCCGAATCAAATCGTGTCAAAAAACTCATTGTAGTTTCTGAATCGAATCATGCCGAAAATTCGAATCGTATCGAAAAACTTGATACACCGCTCAAATCGAATCGTACCGAAAAACTCAATGTCGTTTCTAAATCGAATCGTGTCGAAAAATTTAAATCGTATTAAAAAAAAAATATGATATCGTTTCGAATCGAATCGTATCGAAAAATTCAAATCATACAAAAAAAACTTGACACCATTTCCAAAATTGAATCGTATTGAAAAAATCGGTGTCATTTTCGAATCGAGTATTGAAATAAAAATTCCTAGTTTATATGAGTATACATATTAATAATTATATATATATATATAAATAGTGAATATATAATAGGTTTAAATGTTTTACACAGGTTCAATAGATCGATCCAACTCAATCTATTTTTATTAACGGATCGACTCAACCCAACCCGTTTATCTTTTAAATCCAAATGGGCTGGACCAACCCAACTGACATCACTGTATATATAATTTGATTATAGATTAATCTTGAATTTCGTAGGAGAAAAGATTTTCTTTCCATAGTCCGCTACTATATCATGGTTGAATGAGAGTGCTTTTTTTATAATCGGGTATCTGGATCAACTCAGATATTAATCTCATAGTCAGAAAGAAAGCAAATAGGTGATTTAGAATATATATGTTGTTTCTCTAAATTTGATAGTCGAACATACGTTTTTCACTGGTTGAACTAACAAAAAGTTACTATAACATGAGAGTTCTGGTAACATCTGTTAGTGATCTTATCTATGATTCAATATTCCAAGGTTATATATATATAATTATATAGCATGGTATATTGCAATTCGAAATATACACTTTTATGTTGAATTTAGGTTACTGTATCTTGCCTGTTATATTTATACGATAAAACACAAACTTTTTTTTATGTTGAATATAACACACAACTTTTCACATACATAATTGGCTTTTGTTTATCATTATATATATGTTCACGGTTTATATAGGATATATATATATATATATATATATAGGATCATTGATATTTGTTATTGGCACGTACGTACGTAGAGACAAAAATCCTTATCCAACATTTTCATCTGTCTCGGTCGATCGAACGACGTTGCTGAATGAGTAGAGCTTTGTTCTTAGCTTCGGCCGATGAGATTCGATGGTTCACTCAGAACGTATTTGGGCAGTTCGTACTTTGCACCTACGCAATGAAAATTACATTTTTCAATTACTCACCCAAAAAAAAAATCATTATGTGTATTTTCATATATTAAAATTCATTATGAATGGCTGCATATGATAAATTATACAATTTCTAATCTAAATGGAGATAACTCTCCGTTTAATGGAAGTTATTTGTTGTCTTGTGTAAATTGTTATAAAAAAAAACCATATATAAATATGAAAAACAAAAAAATAAGAAAGAAAAGAGAAGAAAAGTTTCTCGTATATATATATGATATATTATTTTTAAATCTAACGTACGTGATTATACCTTTCTGGTCGTAACAGATGGAGAGATCGGTGTTGTGTACGATTACGCCGGCGCTCTCGACGATGGCTTGGGCGAGGCAAGCATCTGCTTCCGCAGCCGCCCTTAGCGCATCCCAGATCTCTGTCCTCGTAACGTGTATATATATGACAAGTGACAACAGCCAGATTCCACATATACATACATACATATATATATATATATATATATATTCATGCATGAGATCGAAAGGGTAGGACCTTTCTTGCCGCCGTAGTGAGGAGCGGTGTCCCAAAACTCCTCCCGCATCTGGACGAGTTCTGCTTTGGATATTGGCGAAGGATGCTTCCACGATTTCGGCCTCCTTAGTGATCTCTCCCTTTGCCCTATACACCATATCAAACTTATAACACGTCTTTTGTAAACAGAAGAGGGTATGTTTCATTTTCAAGTGTACGTGTGGCTGGTTTAGATTGGTTTGGTTTAGTTTTTCTTGGTCCGGTTTGGTTCTTCAATGGGTCAAGTACAGAGACAGTCGTTTATGCAAATAATCTCTATAGGAGGGAGAGAAAGAGAGAGAGAGAGAGGTTACCATCTGTTTTGGGTCGGGAGCCTGCGCAACCCATAAGACTTGCTTCTTCGAAGCTGATCGAGAACCCAAAAGCTACAGAAGATGTCAGAGAGCCAGACACAGAGAGATAGAGAGAGAGATTGAGAGAGAGAGAGAGAGATGAAGCTCAGAGGGTTTTGAAGAAGAACTGGGATCAGGGGATCTTTGAGGCCGGGCCCCTCGGACACGGGCGTCATCGCATGTTTTCTCGTGAATTCAATCTCGTCTCTGTTCAAGCGAGATACCCGTGACCATGACGAAGAAATAGCCGTCTGGATTTCCCAAACACACACGCACGTATATATATATATATGTGCATATGATCTGTATATTTAGTATATTCTAATCCATCTTATATACACTACTGCACATAAATAGTATAACACAGAGAATATACCGGATTTTTTATGATGCATAAGATGATGGATTTTTGATTCAATTATATATATCTTCCAAAGGATCGGAAAATTCTTGATGAGAATATATCGTTTTTTAAAATTGATTCGCAAATCCTTAACATTCTATTATTTAATACTATAGTGTTTATACCTAACTATATAAACCAAACCTAATAGAAACATGTTATTGCATTTATATTTTCTATTTGCAGTTTGCTTGGAATTTTTGGACAAAAGAAAAAGACAACAAACTAAGAGCAAGAACATATGACTTTACCAATCATATATGTTTTTTTTAATGGGTATACTAAGTCGAAGTCCAGAATAATACCGAAATCTGAAATAAACATGTGATTGGAATTACGTTCCTCTATTCAACTTGAGATTCGAAATCAGAACGAGATAAAAAATTTGCATCATATATATTTTCTTATATATGAAACCCCAAAAAAATATAATTTTATCAAAGCAACATACTTTTATATTGTCTATAACCTTTTTTTTAAAATAAAATTATAGCATCCCAATTGAAAACGAACTCTTGTGTACCATATGTTCTAGTCTTATCCTGTTCAAATATCCAATTTTCCTTTTTCTATATTTTCTTCCTTGGTGAGGTGGAGATATAATGGAGGTAAAACTCAATAAATAAAATATAAAAAAACAAATTCAAAGTAGTGATATATATTCATATCCTAAATAATCGGAATAGAATATAAAATAATAAAAAAACAAACAAAAATAATTTTGTAAAATTAATGTTTTTTTGAACAAAACAACTTCAAATTAAATTGAAATCTAAATATAATCTAAATAATTTTTTTTCAAAACCAATTACTCAAATTTAAAAATAATGTTGTTTTAAAGCGCAAGAAAATTCAAATGTGACCTGAAACCTAAATCGCAATCTTTTGAATGTAAAAACAATTTTTTGTTCCTTTTTATTTTATAAACTTCCGGATTGGATAGGAACTCAAGAACAATGCTATGATTTCCTTTTCTTTTTTTTTTTCTTATTTATGTATCCACGTCATCATCTCATTTCTTTAATGCCATCGGCTCTGTATCTATAGGTCGCATATATAAGATATTTTTCTCTCTCCGCACATTGTTACTTCCTATTTTCACCCATCGCCTGAGACATCTTCCTAGGTTTCTCCGATCTCCTACGCTTAAGATTCAAACGGTAATTACAGTGTTTCGTACCTTTGAAGCGATATTTGTCTGCAAATTCTTCGTATAGATCGTCGTTTATAGATTCGGATCCGAACGATCCAGTGGTCGGCTTCCCGGGTCTGGGATTCTAGGTTTTCCAAGTTCTTCGGCGTCTGGAACGATTGCATCTGGGTGAACCATATCTCTCGGATCTGTTTTCTTAAGTTTGGATCTACCTTCCGGGATTGCGTCAAGATGTGAACGTGTTTGTTCTTTTGTTTTGCGTGTTTAGCTTCGATTCTGAAATCGGATTGACGAGATTTTCGGGTTTTGACATGGATTTTCCTTCTTGTTCTGGAATCTAGTCTCTACGCTCCAGAAGTATGTTTTTTGTGTTGTGTTTCATGGCAAAGTCAGATGCTTGTTAAAAGACCATTGCATCTCCTTTTTACTTTGATTTCACGACCTGAGATTCGGATTCAATTTATAGACCAGAAATCAGAGTTGTTGATATGAGTATATGACTTGGTAGCTAGATGTTTATTCCCTGTTAAAAGAATCTTACATCTATGACGATTTATTTTCTAAGTATCGGTTTCAAGGCAGATTTGATGGTCAAAGGCTCAACCTTTATGGATGCTTAATTGCTTCTGTTGTTAATTGCATTTACTTTTCTGATTCTGTTGATGCTGCTTACCTTTGCAGCTAAAGGCTCAAGATGGGAGGAGGGTTTAGAGTGCTTCATCTCGTGAGACCGTTTCTTGCATTCCTTCCGGAAGTGCAATCTGCTGATAGGAAAATTCCATTCAGAGAGAAGGTCATATACACCGTGATCTCTCTGTTCATCTTCTTGGTGTGCAGTCAGCTCCCACTCTATGGGATCCACTCTACCACCGGCGCGGATCCATTCTACTGGATGCGTGTCATCCTTGCCTCGAACCGAGGAACAGTGATGGAGCTCGGTATTACACCGATTGTTACATCTGGACTGGTTATGCAACTGTTAGCCGGTTCAAAGATCATTGAAGTGGACAACAATGTACGTGAAGACCGTGCACTCTTGTAAGTACCGAGTAACCTTTTTTAAAATCAAAATTATGTGGGCTTCCAACAAGAGAATGAGGTTTTTCATGAATAGACAAAGATTCTTGTGTATAATTTTCTTACTTCTCTATGACTTCTGTAGGAATGGTGCACAGAAGCTGCTGGGTATCCTTATAGCCATCGGTGAAGCAGTTGCATATGTGCTGTCTGGAATGTATGGCAGTGTTGGCCAGCTAGGAGTCGGGAATGCTATTCTCATTATTGTTCAGCTCTGCTTTGCCGGTATCATCGTCATTTGCTTGGATGAGCTTCTCCAGAAAGGATATGGTCTCGGCTCCGGAATTTCCCTTTTCATTGCCACTAATATCTGGTTAGCGTTGCCACCCTTTTCTCAGATTATCTCTTCAAACTCGTTTCCACATATATCCATCCACTTCATGCGGTTTTGTGCTGATGAAAGTTAATTCTTTGTCAGTGAGAGCATTATCTGGAAAGCATTCAGCCCAACCACCATCAACAGCGGACGTGGAGCTGAATTCGAAGGCGCAGTTATTGCTCTGTTCCATCTTCTCATCACTCGGACAGACAAAGTCCGTGCACTCCGGGAGGCATTTTACAGGCAGAATCTCCCGAACGTGACGAATCTGCTCGCCACTGTCTTGATCTTCCTGATCGTTATCTACTTCCAAGGCTTCCGGGTGGTTTTGCCCGTGAGATCCAAGAATGCACGTGGACAGCAGGGCTCCTATCCTATCAAGTTGTTCTACACCTCGAACATGCCCATCATCTTGCAGTCTGCCCTTGTTTCCAACGTCTACTTCATCTCTCAGGTACTAATTTGTTACCAGACATAACACGTAAAAGCACAATATGATCCTCTCTGAGGAGACTCGAGATGTGTCTTAACGATAGAAATCTTGTTTCTCCAGCTATTATACAGGAAGTACAGCGGAAACTTTCTGGTGAATCTTTTGGGTATTTGGAAGGAGTCGGAATACAGCGGCCAGTCTGTCCCTGTTGGAGGAATTGCATACTACATCACCGCTCCATCCAGGTGATTGATCATAAACGCATTCGGCCTCTTGTATCTTCTTGCTCTCGAGCCACTCTCTAACTTCACCTGCACTATGGTTTTCGTCTTCCCATTTTTTGCAGCCTAGCCGACATGGCAGCTCATCCTTTCCATGCCCTGTTCTACCTCGTGTTCATGTTGGGAGCTTGTGCTCTGTTCTCGAAAACCTGGATCGAAGTTTCCGGATCATCTGCCAAAGATGTCGCCAGACAACTCAGGGTAAGATGCTTCCTCTAGTCGCATCGTAGTTGTTACCAAAGCTGAATCTGAACTCATTTCATTTGTCTGCCTAAACGCCGCGTTTGCATTTGCGATTGCGTTTTGATGAAAGGAGCAACAAATGGTGATGCAAGGACACCGAGACTCTAACCACCAGCAACAGCTGAACCCATTTATTACATGGGTCATAAACTAACTCCAACAATAACCAATGACGTAGAAATACATCAAACACGTGTAATCATTATATATATATATATAATATAGTGGCTTTTTCTGTAGGATATTACATGACATGAATTGAAACATGTGTCGAATCTTTTTAAATGGACAAAAGTAGTGGCCTAATGGCCGACGGCGGGGCTTGGAACGGATTGCATCAGACGATGTTTCGTCGGATAATTTTCCGGCGATGTACGGTCGGAGCTTTCCGGAGGATCAATATTGCCCTTTGGAAACAACAAACCCTTTCTTGCGCCGTAAGGCACCAAAACCATTTTCCCTTCGGAAGATTGCGAGACAAACCCTAGAAGAAGAAGAAGGAGGGACATTACACAAATGCAGATCATTGGACGAGCCCGACAGCGGCGGCGTTCGGGGGAATGTGCATTGGGGCACTGACCGTACTGGCGGATTTCATGGGCGCCATCGGGTCAGGGACCGGAATTCTCCTGGCCGTCACCATCATCTACCAGTACTTCGAGACGTTCGAGAAGGAAAAAGCAAGCGAGCTCGGATTCTTCGGTTTCTAAGCCCTTTTGGAAATATATGAAGATCACACTGGCTCTGAAGAGAAATCGACTCGCCATTGCAATGGCGTGGAACACCCAAGTAGAGAGAGAGAGATAGAGAGACCTTGACAAAAGAAAAGAGCTTATTAGCTTTATTTAGTTTCAGCCCACTTTCGGGTAGCTGTAACTGCAGGACTGACTTTCCTCGTTCCTCGTTTTCTTCTGCTTTCAACTGTTTGTCCGAAACTTTCAGTGTTGTCTTTTCCTTTTGTTAGAATTCGGTGGCGGGAAAAAAATGTCTGAGGAGTTTTATAATTGACATTTCGATGCGTATCACTACCACGATTACATATTAGATTTTAGGGGGTTTATTCACCATTTTCCTTCTAAAATCAAGTTTATATATATATATATATATGAAAAATATGGTTTGCTTTAATTCTACACTGCCATAGGATCCTCGATGCAAAAAGTCAACGTTGACTATATGACATTAGCTTCATGTAACTTTAAGGGAAATTAAAATGACGCAATCATGCAAATGTACCAAAATAGTTCTCTTTCCTTTTTTTTTTCCTCGTGTTTTCTTCTCCGACTAAACTTGCATAATTCTAATTTAAAGTCATTCCTTTACATACAATACAAAGTTGTCAAATCGATATTTTATTGGACCAAATAATTCCTAATTTTGTAATTTAGTTAAAGAAAACAAAATAAAAAAAAACCCAAAGAATGATTGTTCATTGAATGTGTAACATTAATTTGGCAGTCTCTCCTAACAAGTCGTGTGGGCCAAAAAAAAGAGAGGAAAGCCGAACAGTAGGATGACAAAGCGATAATGGTATTCCACGTTCTGTTGCATGTCCATTTCACTTTCTTCCTTTTTCTTTTTTTAATATGTTGAATTAATATAATTAGCGTTGGAATCATACAGCGTTACCCAAGAAGAAGAAAATAGAAAATAGAAAATATTAAAGAAAATAAATAAGACTTCTGACCATATTTAGAGAGATAGAGAGAGAGAGAGAGAGAGAGAGAGAGAGAGAGATGGGCAAATAATTGGTCAAATCAGCCTCTTTAATATGCAAGCGCCGAAGTGGAGCATCTGACGACAGTAACTCTTCCCAGCTTTCTTTGTAAAGAAAGGCACGCAACGCAACCAACATTCTCTTCCTAATTCATTAATTGGTTATCCGTCTTATTATATATATATATATATACATATATGTTCCAATTATCGGCCTTTACTGTTTCCTCGTGATGTTTTTTTCCCTTATCCTTCCTAACTAACGCCATTATTTATTTTTTTTATGAAGTAGAAACCTAACTATTATCATTCATATGCGTTGATTAGGTAAACCTCTTATCTGGGACCAACCTTTGTATATAGGTCTTATTGACTCAGAAATTACGTCTCTCCCCTCCAAGTGGAATCGAACACCCAACCTTCAAATACATTGCACCATCAGATTGACCACTAGACTAGCCCTTGTTGGGTTCACGCAGTTAATTTTACTAGTCGGGCAAATGTATTTTAATATTTCGGCTGCACCATAATATTTTGGATAGTTTTTTCCTAGCGAAATATTTATATTAATAATCCTTGGTATATGGGTATGTATGTACGTATAAATATATATATATATATATATATGTATGTATGTATGTATCTTGGAAAATACGGTTTGATATTTGAACCACGGTTTTATCACGAGTTTTGTTTTAATATTCGTTCTTGATATTAGGTGCTAAAAGTGATTGTCTCAATAAACAAAATTAAATACCTCCGATCCAATAAATATAAATGGTGATCCCCTTAACAGTTTCTTAGGTCAACTCTTGAATGCAATAGGACGGATGCATGTACATAAATGCATACCCTTTCTTGGAAAATATGCTATTTAAATATTACGTGAACAGAGCTTTCTATTTGGTCCGCTTTTAACAACAGGACGGATGCGTGTACATAAATGCAAGAGAAGGAGACAGCCCGACAACAAAGGCAACGGAGGGCGTGAAGAAATCAAAATATCGAATCGTAAAATGATTAATTTATTAATCTTACCATTTATTACATGGGTCATAAACTAACTCCAACAATAACCAATGACGTAGAAATACATCAAACACGTGTAATCATTATATATATATATATAATATAGTGGCTTTTTCTGTAGGATATTACATGACATGAATTGAAACATGTGTCGAATCTTTTTAAATGGACAAAAGTAGTGGCCTAATGGCCGACGGCGGGGCTTGGAACGGATTGCATCAGACGATGTTTCGTCGGATAATTTTCCGGCGATGTACGGTCGGAGCTTTCCGGAGGATCAATATTGCCCTTTGGAAACAACAAACCCTTTCTTGCGCCGTAAGGCACCAAAACCATTTTCCCTTCGGAAGATTGCGAGACAAACCCTAGAAGAAGAAGAAGGAGGGACATTACACAAATGCAGATCATTGGACGAGCCATCACTGTAATATAGAGTTCCTCTTTTTCTATTACTTTAAATTTTGTGAAAGCTTTCTTTTCTCTTTTGAACGTTTAGGGTGAGCTTCATCATGGCGTGTCTATATATACACTTATACATATATGTATATATATATATATGTTTGCATGTATGTATATGCACAGACGACGCGAAGGGGTTTAGGGCCACTTTGGTGGAATTTGGGTTAGGTACAAATGAACTATGGCCGGGCGTTGAATACATAGCGATGTGTTATGTATGCATGCATATCTTTTACTTGTGCTTTTATAACTCCAAGAACACAGGAGCAATGGGAAAAAAAAAAAAGAACAATTAATATATTATTCCATTTATTTCAGTAGAATATACTAACATTTTCTAAAAATAAACGAAAAGAATAATGTAAATATATGATGTTTTCTTACATACCAAAAGATTATCTTATTAAAAAAAAAACATGTAGAACGTGTAATGGTCAGGAGAAAAGGGTAACACGGTTGTGCAATACATATCAAATTATAAAAAATATAAAAAATGAAAAAAAAATAGAAAATTTGTAGAAATTAGTAATTCAAAATGAAAAAAGAAGATTATTTACAAATTATATTATATATTACACAAGATAGAAATTTTGTCCCAAGCGTGGCCGTAGTCAGTGGCGGATGCACGTTAAGGGCAATGGGGGCAAAGGCCCCCATTAGTTTAATTAAAAACTGTATTTTTCTTTGTAAATTTTTACAAATTTGCAAATAAAATTAGAAATGCCCCCATTTATAATAGAAAAAATTATGTTTGCCCCCTGTTCAATAATTTTCTAAATCCGCCACTGGCCGTAGTTAAAGATAAAATACTTCATCAGGAAAATCTCATAAATATATAAATTAAAAAAAATGTCAATATATAAAAGTTAAGGTTTTAAAAATGTTTTTAGATATTAAGGATTATGGATCAAGATTGACAATTTCGTAGTAGGAGAGAGATTTCGTGTGCCATGAGAATTGAGAAAAAGGTGTTTTGAGATTTGATAATGAGATGAATTGACGTTCTTGTAGTGCATTATCAATTATAGTTTTGTTTTATTTCTCTTTCCGATATTTGTATATTTATAGCAAAATTTTATCCACATCGTAAAATAATTCAATATTACTACAAATGGTACATAATACATTATCTCATATTTATATCTAGCTTTATATCCAAACCCAAATTAAATCATATAAACAAAAATAGAAATTAAAAATGTCGACCGAAGGATAGAATATTGAATATGATGTGATATTCGTGGTTTACGAAGATAACCCAAAACCATACTATTTCGGAGCTTAAATTCATTGAATTGATATTATTTATTTATTACACATTCCACCCTACTAGTTATTGAATTGATACAATTTAGACCTTCAATTTTGTACTTGATTGATTAACCATTTCGTATAAAATATTCGTTAGCAACATATTATATATATATATTTATGTTTTATATTTGGTTTGAGTTTATTTTATCCAAAGAATTCTAGTTAAAATAAAACTTGGCTGTATATTAGAATATTAAACTACAGACTCTCCAACTCAAACAGAGGTTTGATTACTTAAACATAATCATCATCTGCAAATAACACTAATAATATATAATTAACAAAATTATTTAGAAAAAACAAAAAATCATAAAATATGTGTAAAACTCTTCAAAGACAAAACCCCTAATGTTAACCAAAGCTGTCTCTAAACCTCAGCAAAACAAAACAACTTCACAAGTGGTCGAACGTCTTGGCGGCGATAATGCAGCGAGTTCATTGAGTATGCCACCGGCTTTCTCCTCGCTCGTAGATTCACCGCAACGTATCGTAAGTTTCTTGATCACTTCCGAATCCCCGAGAAAGTATTTCGCTAATTGCCTTTCCGCGTTCCAACTTATCGGTATCTCAATCTCGACAGACTCGAGAGACGTCACTAAACACCGTGGTGGAACGGATTTGAATCTGATTTGATTCTTCTCCGAACAAGAGTCCTTTCCCTGCAAATACATGAACAAAGTAAGTAATTTGAGACCTTGTACGATTATCCATGTCGAAACCAACGAGCTGATTAAACCTTCAGGACGAATGATTTCAGATTCGGACAGCTCTCGAGAAGGGTAGGCAACATTTTCAGCAAATGGTAAGAGAATGTGGCTGAAACATGAGACAAGTTTCTGAATTCTGGTAGAGCTTCCCCTTTAAGGAAACCATGGATGACCTGAAAGAGAGAAAGAGAAGAATGTTGAACAAGATGAGCGATATTCATGGAGAAAAAACTCTATATATATACGTCTAGCGTCTCCTGAGAAATGGTCATATTTCTCGCAGATGAGATCCCGACGAGAAAGTTGCGGACGATTTGTTTCTTCGATGATACATACGAGACCGGTATATCTCCGTACAGTTCGTTAAAGGTTAGAGAAAGATCGACAGTGGCAGAAGAATCAAGACTGCTGATCTTGAAGACGTCAGTACGGAAATCGAAGATTTTCAGATACCTGAGTCTAGGACCTTCGATCACAACTTCAAGTTCTTCATCATACTCAATGGCATCGAAATCAAGTTTAAAGCTCCTTAGAGTATGAGAACGCACCCATAAGACTTTTACATTATCCGGGACACTCCTCGAGATGGTTAAATCTTCGAGAACCGGGCAGTTTGAGATTATCATCTGCATACTCAACATGTCCTAAATCAAGAATCTTCAGACAAGGCAAAGAAACAAACTCGGGATAATCCAAGATCATGTCATGAAGTTTTAAGCTCACCAATGTCTCGCACGCACAAATGGATCGAGGCATCATGAATCCATAACCCATCGTAAGATCGAGATGTTGAATTCCACGGTTTACTACAGCATTAATCCGTGAGATGAAACAAGATGCATCATCATCTTCACCATCAACCACTAATAAGAGTTTATGGATCTCACCCTTGTGTAAATCCATAAACTTGTCGAGAAAACTCGCCAAGGCATCGTAATCTTGGAATTCACCGGCTTCCAGTTCCAATCCAGAAACTCCTGACCAGAGGTTTCTCCATCTGGTGGATAAAACGCTTGTCCTAACCGCGTTCTTCATGGGCAGGTATGAGAGTATCTGACACAGCAAAGGGTCTGGTTGTAAAATACTTTACATTTGATGGTTTTCGATAACTTTATGAAAACTCACCAAAAACTGGATACGGTTTTTGCATAATTCACACAATTCGAAATTAATATACATATCGGATAAGAATTATACCTGAATCCATTTTGCAGCGGAATGACTTTGAAGAACAATTCGGTAAATCAGTTTTTGTTTGTTTTCTCTCCTTTCTCCCTAACTTTGATAGATTTTTGATGGATTAAAATATGAACCAAATGTCCACTATTTATAGGGTAAGGAGAGGGGAATAAACTTAAATACCCATAAACTTCAACACCATAATAAACTCATTTCCATCATTGTAGTCAAGATCATATTGAAGTTTAAAAACACAAAATTACATGGGTCATTAACATGTTATATTTCCAACATTCTCCCACTTGGCCCTTGTGATGATTTGATGATCTACAATCTTTAGACGCGTACTTTTATATTGTATTTATCTGTCATCGATAACTTTTATTTGAACAACAAACGATTGAATCTTGGCGGTCACACATCATTTTATTTGAATATGATTCCTTCCAAGTATCACAAGCGTTTGTCATCCAAAACCTCTTTTATGGCCAGAAGTAATTATAGAACAATAATGCATATTATCTTTATCACACTTCATATGTACACAAATAATTTAATGATAATATGACTTTCAATA